ATGAAGAATTGTTTAAAGAGGAGTTGGGGGAATTGAAGGGTCCACCAGCGAAGATTTATGTAGATAAGGAAGCAGTCCCAAGGTTTTTCAAAGCCCGACCGGTCCCTTATGCAATGAAGGCAAAGGTTGAAGTTGAAATAGAACGCCTGTTAAGAGAACACATCATAGAACCTGTTAAACACTCTGAATGGGCTGCACCTGTAGTACCTGTTTTAAAGTCTGATAATACCGTACGTCTATGTGGGGACTACAAGCAAACGGTAAACAGAGTTTCAAAGTCGGAACAGTACTCAATTTCTCGGATAGAGGATTTGTTTGCAACTTTGTCGGGTGGACAGAAGTTCACAAAATTGGATATGAGCCATGCTTATCAGATTGCATTAAATGCAGAGTCCAGGAAATATGTCGCAGTGAATACCCACAAAGGGCTGTTTACTTACCGTGTTTTACCTCTTTGGAGTCTTTTCTAGCCCTGCCATCTTCCAACGGACCATTGAGGGGGTACTGCAAGGTCTTCTGCATGTGACAGTTTTCCTTGATGATATCCTGGTAACCGGTCGTAATGATGAAGAGCATCTCCAAACTCTTGCTAGAGTATTTGATAGATTACAGGAAGCAGGACTGCGATTGAAACGGAGTACCTTCATGGAAAAAGAGGTAATATTCTTAGGTCATAAAGTGGATGAGACCGGCCTCCATCCTGCACCAGAAAAGGTGACCGCTATTCAAAATGCTCCCTCACCAAAGAATGTGACAGAATTTAAGGCTTATTTAGGACTTTTAAATTATTATACTTGCCCAACCTGTCTACTGTTTTAGCCCCTGTGCACAAGTTGCTGCGAAAAGATGCTAAATGGAACTGGGCAAGAGGCTGCTTATGCTCAGTCTAAAAAAAAATGATTCACTCCGTACAAGTTCTGGTCCATTATGACCCCCAGAAGGATGTGATTTTATCATGTAATGCTTCTCATTATGGCTTAGGTGCAGTTCTTTCGCATAAGACGCCTGATGGAAATGAAAGACCTGAGTCAAGCTGAGCGGAATTATTCGCAGTTGGACAAAGAAGGGTTGGCTGTAATGTTTGGCTTGTTGTCTTTATTTAACGAGTTAAAAGCTGTTCCCCAAATGTCCTCTCCTAGAATCCAGCGATGGGCTGTGACCCTGAGAGCATACGAATACAACACCATCTACAAGGCTGGCAAAGATCATGGCAACGCAGATGCTCTTAGCCGGCTACCATTGCCAATGGAATCTTCCACCGAGCAGGAGGAAAAAGTTCTAATGCTGATATCACCCTGATCACATCAGAACAGGTGACGGAGTGGACAAGAAAATATCCAGTATTATCTCGGGTAAGAGAAACAGTGCAACGCGGATGTTTGCATGAATTAACAGGAGCGGACTTTGACCCATTCACATTAAGGAAAGATGAATTAAGCGTACAGGATGGTTGTGTAATCATTCGAGTAATCATTCCCAGTGTGGGTAGACCAGAAGTTCTTAAACAATTGCATCAGTGTCACCCAGGAGTGTCTAGGATGAAAGCTTTGGCCAGAAGTTATATGGATTCCGGGTCATATAGCGACTGTGACTGGACCACTTTCTTATAAAGTAATGGTGGGCGATGGGCGAGTGGTTCGATGGCATGTGGATCAAATTCATGCCCGACAGAAATTGCTTGTAAACACTTCAGAAGAGGGAATGGACTGTAAATTCCCTGATTTCGACAGTCCTGGAAACTCCACACCTGTAGTTGCTAAAGAGACTGAGGGAACACAGACGGAGGACATTTATAGTGAAACTAATCCCTCTGAAGCATCTGGGGATTCCTCTCAACATTCAGAGATAATCACTGAAATGAACAAACCTGCTAGTCCTGTTGTAATTATGAGACGGTCACAAAGAACTAGGAAATTGCCTACCCATTTGAAAGATTATGAACTGAAGTAATATTGAATGTGAATTGAAGACTGAAAAAAAGTGGGGGGAACAAAGAAAAAAAATGTTATTGTAGTTATATATATATATTATTTATTTATTTATTTTTGTGGAGAGAAATAGCATTGTGATTTATGTAAGCTTGGGGGGAAAGGGATGTTGTAGAGCAGTGATCCTCAAATCTGGCTCGCGAGATCCACTTTCGTGCAGAGTTTAGCTCCAACCCTATAATCAAACAAACCTACCTGTGATTTTCTAATGATCCTGAAGACATTGATTAGAAAACTCAGATGTGTTTGATTAGGGTAGAGCTAAACTCTGCAGGAAAGTGGATCTCGCGAGCCAGATTTGAGGATCACTGTTGTAGTGACAATGAAGTGTCAGTTGTAGTGATGACCTGAAGAGGGCAGGCTAAAGCGGTGTTGGTATTTGCTTAAAAAGCAGCAGAGAAGAACTTGGTGTGAGTGTGTGTGTGTAAATTGACTCCACCTGTAATGTGAATGGGTGTACTGCTGGTTGATGCATTCCGCTGAGTAAATGCACTCTTGAACAGATCTCATGCCTCCTAAGTTATTACAATTAGCCTGAGCTCAGTAGATTATAAACAAATGTACAATATTTTCTGTAAGGAAGCACATACAGTATACAAGGAACTAACAGCCTTATTCTTCGGCATCAGCAAACTGGTTGTCCACTACAGCATAAATAAATCGGACCCATTCCAAAGACATTCAAAATGTTAAAAAATGTGTTAAAGGCAAACAACACATGAACATTCCATTTTGGTAGTGTTGGATACATGACTTTTCACAAAGGTAATCCTGTTTTTTTTTTTCCAACATTAATTTCAAGTTGTCATTGACTATCCCAAATGCAATTGATTTAACTAGTTTTTTTATTTTTCAAAATGATCCAATTATGTTGTAGAATTTTTTTCTTCTTCTTCTTTTGGACAGGGGTTTTGTTGACATTTTCTGTATCAATTAATTAGTTGTCATCCCTGTGCCAAACAACCCTGTCTCCCTTGTACGTTACTGTGATAGTGTATGACAATCTGTCATTGTCTAAATTAGCCTACGTTTTGTCATCATTAACAAACTTAAGTATTCAGATTTTTGAACTCACGGCGGCGACCTCGTTTGCGTCAAAACTATTGCTCGTAATTAGTGATACGATGGCGAATGAAGATGATGCTCTTGCGGCGGCCGTTCACTGTGGTCCAGTTTTCACTGTGGTAAAGCAAGTACTGGCTCTGAGTGAAACGATTAAGCTAATACGAGTTGAAACTGCTAAAGCAACCAGCGCCCTCGAATGGTCAAAGCAAACACCACATGATAAAGCGGTAATATGTAGGCTTTAAACGCTCTTCTTGCCATTGTTTTACTTTGCAGGGTGTTGTAAAGTCTCATTGAGAACAGGGACGCCTGGGTACTCTGAACTCAGACACTTTTAATATTGATGAATAGCATGAAGTGCAATTGGAGAATTATAACATTTAACCAGAGCTAAAGACAGTCACGAGGATTGAGAGACGCCAAAGGAAGTAATGTGACTTGCAAATGTTTAATAGATATAAATGCAACCTTTTTTTAGATATATTATGTTGGGTTATGTCACCTTTGTTATCCTATGACTGTATACGTTTGTTCAGTATAGTCTCGGTGTTAAAACAATACAGACTAAAGATAACCTGCAACCCAACAGAACAATAAACGTAAGTTAGGCCTAGCTCAGAAATATCAGCTCAATGTTTCACATTTCAATGTGTGTTTCACCGTTGCATTTAAGCTTCTTTGCTGTAATGAAAGCAAGGAACGGTAACCATATAAAGTATTAAGATCGTTATTCAAAGTATTAAGTAAAAATATGTCTTGTAGGCATCTGTGGCCTGTATTCCAGCTAGGTTATTTGTTTTAAAGACATTAACAGTTCCAACTATAGTGAACATACCTTGACCATGTATCTTTCTGCAAAAATATTTTAAAATAAACTGACATTAAAGACCATAACAGTTCCAACTATCCTAGTGAACATATCTTGACCATGTATCTTTCTACCTTTCAGCAAAAATAATAATCTTATGTAAATTGTAGGCTATAGCATGATATGACAATAGCAGGTGTTCATTGCTCCTGTTATTTGTGATATCCTTTGCTTTTCCATGTTTATCATGTTATTTTTTTTTTTAAATATATATATCCATTGTATCATGACGTATATGACTCTTGTTCTTTGCTTATGACACCTGTACATCACTTACGAGATTCATAAATGAAATTTTCATATTATATAAACCTCTCTTAATGTCTGCTGATTATTTGCATCAGTCTTGAATAGTGTCATGTACTGTATATACCAAACCCTTTAAGCCACATATGGAATTTTGTATTGTTTTATTTTAAAAGAAGATTGTTAATTTCTCATGTTCAAGTTCAGTATTCAGTAACATCTGACATGCAAAAGTAAATTCCTATATGCACATCTTGATCTAATTTAGATCTGAAACAGAAATAAGCCCACAGTCATAAGTATTGCTAAGGCATTTCAGATGAATCCAAAACAATTTTAGTATGGTATTGGACTGGTTAACTGGGCAGGTCTCCAAAACCTGTCAATGGATTACAAGCTTCCAATAAAACGGAAAGTTCGCCAAAAATTAAAACATTTGAATGAGATTTGAGAACTACTGAGAAGGTCAAGATTAACACACACATACAACTTTAATTTTGAACTGTTCCTCATAGGTTGACCTGTTGCTGTTTTAACCGTTATTTCTCCTTTTGTGCTCCTCAGAAGACCAAAGCTCATTCATTAGTAGGGTTTAGTTTTTTCCTCCTCCACTGGAATGGTATGAAAGTGAGTAAATCACGTAATTTTCATTTTTGTGTGAACTATTCCTTAAAGAACCTCACAAAATTCATATATTTTGTTTTTATTGTAAATGGCACCAGAGGCCCTTTTCAGAGAACGTTCCAGAAAAAAAAGTGCTTGCTTCATACTGTTCTTTTACTCACTGGTACACATTAAAAGGTGTTTTTATTTATAGGCTTCCTCTATCATTATTCAGCTTTATCGGTAGATCAAAGTTATGTACTCTTTGTTTACAATATTCAAATCAAAGTCCTCACTTATCTTACCTGGTCACGGGAGGCATGATCAATCTCCATGGCCAGAGACTGCGCTTTTGTCTGTGTGGCAAACAGGGTTTTGGCCTCATGGAGGCTCAGACTGAGAAGCTGACCATTTAGATCTTCATTCTGTTCCCTCAGTTTCTGGTTCTCCTGTGGTAGGAAATAGGGTAGAGTTACAATTTACCTCAAAAGATGATCAAAGAGTCGTCTTGCTTTTCCTTTTCCTTATTGTGGCCTTGTTAACTAAAACAAGAGAAGTTGGTAAGGCCAGCTTCTGCTGGCAAAAGAAAGCAGTAATTTGCAAATGATGATAATCTTGTTTGAGATGGTTATGCAATGACTGTAGATTAGAAAAATTACCAGATCTTCTTACAACAGACATAAGCCAAACTTAAAGAGGTCATATGATGTTGCTAAAAAGAATATTATTTTGTGTATTTGGTGTAATGAAATGTGTTTATGCGGTTTAAGGTTCAAAAAACAGCGTCACACACGGCGGGCTAGAGTGAGCGGCGGCCGGAGGCCTAGTGAGGAACGGACTCGATGAAGGAGCGGCCGGCAGGGCTTTCAGCAACCACATGTGATGACCCCGGGCTGGACTCCGCTTCGTCCACGGTGAAAGCCGATCCGGCGATCCACAGCACGAAGTTGATGTATTTCCTCAGCGACCAGCACGGATCAGCTCCAGGCATGACGAAGCGGATATCGTCCTCTTTTGGAAGACCAAACAAAGTAGTTTCGCTTTCACAACCATCGAAACACACATACAGTAACGCGTTACTGTAATTTGATTACTATTTTAGTAACGGAGTAATTTAGCGCGTTATAATTTTCTAAATAGTAATTAGAGTATAGTTACAAGCCGAGGTCTCTATACGTTACTGCCGCGTTACATTGCTGACCGAATGCAGTGTTTTATAATCTAGAGATTGTAAAAAGGATGTAGCACACGCACTGTCGAGTCAAGTGCCAGTGGATTAGTATGGCATACACTCCGTGCCAAAATCGACCGACCGATTGATCGAACGTCAAACCGAACGTCTTGAGCTTTGAGCGTCTTACACTGCGGGTGACCCACGTGACGACCTGACGTCCTGAACCTGAACTGAAATTAGCTGGTTTTAAACATGTAAAGAGACAGGGTGCTGTGTAAAGACTATAAATGGACTTTACAGGCAATACATATAGATATTGTTCACCTAAAGCAACAGTAAAATCTTTTTTTTCTGAATCTTGTGCTTGAGTATGTTTTTTACTTTCAAAGAGCAGACATACTATATGTTTTTATTGTTTATAGTATTATACAATGTTCACAGAAAGGTGTTAAACATAACATAATCAAACAATTAAATAATTTAATTTTGCAACAAAGGTTACAATTCCAAAAATTCACATACTGTCATATTGAGAACATTAATGTCAGGAATATTACACCACATACTATACAGCAATTGAAAAAAAAAAGTTGTCTGCCAAAAATGATAAATATTGGGAGTTGTCATTACATGTACATGTTTAAAAACACTAATAAAATATTTATTAGTTATTAGTTCAATATTAAAATAGTTCAACATAAATTAACCTATTTTAGTTAATATCTAATTTGATGTTTAACATTACAATTCCAGGAGTCTTTACAGTGGACAGTTGCTCTTACATTTAAGGTAAAAACTTTTCAATATGTTCTCATGAACTGCTAGAATCTGTGAGTAGATGTTTAATGAGGTTATAAAATATAAACATGTTCAATTTTCATAGGAGCTGATTTGTGCATGAAACCTTGATTGAAATAAAGAACATCACTTTTGTTTGCATTTACAGAGATGTCTATTGATCAAAGATGAATATATCCTCCTGAGACCCAGACTGATGTCTGATCTACTGTAAAGTAGACATACACACACACACATATAAATGGTCAGCATATTTTATGTAATATATTTGATTTTTATATTTAGGCTGAAACAAAGCAGATAGGATAACTCTTGAATGGATCAGCCGTCGGAACGAATCGCTTGAACAAATGACTCAAATGTTCACTCATTAACACAGTCACTTGCTGCCACCTACTGGCGGTTTACGCTTTACTTTTAAAATGTAATTTACTTTTGTATGCTGCATATCAAATTTGGACTATTTTGAAGGACACAACTAAAGTAAAAGAGCTTACATTAAGGTAAGAAAAACACAAACGTGTTACAGCGTGTCTTCACACATAAATAACACGTTGGGAACACAATCGGTTACTTGCACTGCCACCGGTCGCCATTGGAACGCGTTAACAACACGTAAGCATATGTAGGAACGTGTTACAAATGATTTTATGCAAATTGTCAATTATTTTGTTTTGGCTCATTGTTTGTATGTGGAAGACATGAAAATCAACGAACCTTAAATACAAAGTTTAGTCTGTTCAAAGAATTTACAGATTTAGCTGATTAGGCCTAAATGATAATAATAATTTAGTAATTTTAAGATTCAGTAAGTATTGATATTTCTCTTTAGTCTTTGAAAATAAAAGATCATGCTTATATTTTATCCACTTTTATTAGTTATTTGTTATTTGTTTGATATTTATATATGTATGTATGTATATATATATATATGTATATATATATGTATGTATATATATATATATATATATATATATATGTATGTATATGTATGGCGATAATACCGCATACCGCGCTATTGAGCCACTCAAAATTACCGCAAGGGAAATTCCCTCACAGCGACAGCCCTAGTGAACGCAATAGATTGTACTTCGGAGTTCGACTATTTAAATCGAGTTGTGTTACTTTTTATATATTTGGTTGGCTTATTTTATTTTGATAATGATGTCAAGTGCTTGAACTGATGTGTGCATGCAATTGAGGTGCCTGCGCGATCACTTGAATTTGTTCCGTATGACAGCAGAAACAAAGATAAGTCTGAGACATCATTATGAAACTATAAAGGGTCTACTTTTATTTGTGTACAGCCACAATAACAAAACACTATGCTTTTCAAAATAAAGAAAACAAACAGATGTCGCTTTCTGCCGTAGCCTATTGATTTCCTTTCCGAACTTGTTGAGCATTAGAAAAATGGACAGAAAGGGGCATATAGAACTTGTCGCAGTTTTTCTTTCGTTTTGTTAATCTGTGAATTATTTAGGCTTAGTCAAGTATATTTCGTGAAAAGTGCTATTTATTTATTTTATATAGGCCTAGCCTATGTGATTTTATTCAGTTTTATATAATTGCTTATATTTTTGTTATTTTATTTCAGCTTTTTTTTATTAACAGAAATGTTTTTAATAGTTTTAATTAACTTTAATAACCCTACCTAAATGGCAAAACTTCCACAGAACTGCAGTAGGCCTACACTTTCAATTTCCCTGCTGTTTCAAGCCACACATATTACAAATAATTAATTTAATGCCGGTCTGGGACAACATTTCAGCCAGGCCGGGAGTCTCATCCAGGTCACCATATTTACATTACTTTTAAGAATAATGAAAGAAATGTTGGCAAAATGAGAACAATGTAGAACAATGTGCCTTGTGTGTAAATAAAATTTATTTATCAGTTTTATTTTGATAAACATGACATAATACGCTATAGCATTCATATTTAAAAGTGTAACCCTATTAAAGCACGACGTGAAATACAGTAATGCGTTACTTACTAAGTAATGGGTTACTGCCCAACACTGATCGTATGTGAATGGAGTTTTGTATTGGTGAGGAGTGTTTATTTTTCTTTAAGGCTGAAGCATCAGTGGAGTGCAGGAAATGAAAAATTAGAGCGGTATGAAAACAGAAAGCTTTGAGAAAAATAGCTCTGACTCTGCTGTGGGCAAGAGGTGATATTGATGATATTTAGTATAATAGCACTTCTGTGGTATTGTGTAGTTATCCCCTTCTTTTGACAGGAACATGGAACTAAAAAATCTACCACCTACAAAAAAGTGTGGCTATATTAGATGTTAAATGAGAAGACTCCTTGTGAATGAACTCATTAGTGGTTAATTAAATTACATTAAATCTGCACAGGGATTACAGTTTACCATCAGACTCGGACAGAGTTGTGCCCGAGCGGACACAAGCTGCTGGAGGTCAAAGGGCATGTCCTTGGAAACGCTCCTCTGCATATACACAGAGTAAACAAGATTAAATAAGAAAATTTAAAAAATAGTTTATTTTGGTATCACTGTTTCCTGGTGCTTTCCTTGCTTTTTAAAACAAAAAGTGGAGACTGTCTGAATTACATTTACAGCCTTTACTGGAGGAAATATACTGTTCCAGTTATAATCACATCCAGTTCCAAGAGGTTAAAAAGCAATAACATTTATAAAGAAAGTAAGAAAGAAATTCGTTAAATGTTTTTAAATGAAAATAATTCATAAAATAATTTGCACTCATTCTGTTTCTCAGAGATCTGACTACACAAAACTACCATAGCCAATGCCATAGGAAATAGACCTGCTAAAAGATCAAGTTACCAGTTTTCCAGCTCTCTCACCTGTTTTAGTCTCTTGACCTCCTGTTCCAGCTCACTCTCACGTGTTCGAGTGCTGTATTCTGATAGGCTAATGGAAGATCTGCGGCCATGCCCCATTCTTTCTGCCTCCAGCTTGTATATTTGGAGGTGCTCCAGTTCTCGCCGAAGGTCCTCAATTAGCTGAACATAAATAAAAGAGAAAACTAAAAAAATAAGAAAAAGCACTAGGCTACTAAACTGATAACATTACTATTTTATATGGGACAGTCAAGTACATGATTGCTACATAGCCTTTAGGCAGAATACAACATAAAGGTATAGCTCTGGACTAAATTAATATATTAATTTCAATATACTAGTGAATAGTCTTCTCTATGTTTGTGTAACAACTTCTCAGTGTTTGACTTGTATGTGTGCATGTTTAGGCTATGTTCAGTTGTGGTTTTAAAGCACACAATTATGTGTACTGAGGGGAGGCCAAATAAAGCTGCCCAATGCTCTGCCACCCTTTTTCTATCTGTAAATATGTTTGGGTGACTACATACATCTTAAAACAATTGGCACACAAGTAGACAACCTTAGCTTTTGACAGCTTGCTGAATAATTCAACTGTTTACTTTGTTGCCATTTCTGAAATTAACTGTAAAATGTTGCCCACTGGAAACTTTAGCATATGGTCTTACCTCCTGCATGGTATCTCTTTCTCTCTGAAAGTCATTTCTGTTCTGTCGTAGCTTGTCCATCATCTTCTTGTACACATCCATCTCATCCTTCAACCGCAGGCTTGTATCCTCTAGCTTATCTGTCATCCACTGTCTCTCCTTCATATACACAAACAAAACATTTATGCATAGTCAATTAGGTCAATTGCTGGTCATTTATTTATCTATAAATTCACTATTGGGTAAATTTTTGTGACCCAATATTTAAAAATAAGTTTGATGTCATAATATTTTATTAAACCAGATGCCATCAAAGCCTTGTTTTTTTTTCAGCTATGAGCACTTTTGGTTCTATGGATGTTTAGAAAACACTTTTCACACACTATACTACTTTCATAATCATATGTTCATGTAATTTTTTTTTCAGTTGGCAAAACCTTACAATCTTAGACTGGTCGAATTTAAACCATCATTTGCTTTTTTTTTTTAAAGAATATTTTATCATATTCATCGATCCTCCACAAAAACACAGACCGCCTCTGAAAATGACAAGATAGCTTTCATCAGTTTGAAAGAATAAGAACTCCCAGATAGCTTTGCAATACTAACAGGTGTTAGGAACTAATTTTGTTCAAAACATTTAAACAAACAGTACCATTACAAGCATTAACACATCCTCATTTGCATCTCCTTCAGCCTAAATCTCATTTTCTCTTTAAACTTTAAGTCAGTTTATGTATAATAAAAATATCCTACCTCATCCAGTTTCTCTGTCTGAGCTTTCAGTCTGTTCATGTTTATTGCCATCTCTCCATTTTCCTCCTCTAGCTGGTATACTCTGCCAGTGGGAAAAAATAAAATAAAAACAAGCCATTCATCATACTCTAGCAATAAACCTTCACTGCTCTATAGCCGCACTGCTCTATAGCCCTAGGAATCAAAATCTCTAGATGAAGACTTCTGGATAAAATGTAATGGTTCCTTCAGTGGCTCAGATGTGTCACTCTTCTGTCTAACACCCTCATGAAGGACCCACTGAGATTGCTTTATAATTGAAGTGCATTAACACTGGAAAAACTCCCAGGAAGAGGAAAAAAATAGTGGGACAATGGAGTATAAAACCTCAGAATAAAATTAAAAGCATTATAGTATTTACTGCATGACAAAAATAATAGTATTATTAGTATTTTTGCCCTGTTTTCCAATAAAAAAAAAAACATTTAAACATCCAAAATACACCAAGACTTAATTCTAATTAAAATTGGTTTTCAAAACACACAATTAAGTTTATTTTTCTTATCCCACAGGCAAATAAATGTAAATTTTTAGTTAGTTTTTATTTTCCCTGTTTAGTTAGATTTATGAAAAAGTATCTTGTTTTAAAGATGTTTGGATAATTTTACTGGAAAACAAAAAGCAAAAATGCAGTTCTGGTCTTGGGATGTGCCAACCGATTTGTGAGCAGCTCTATCTGTGTGTTTTTGTCTTTCTCCAGTCGGCTGTAGGCCTCTCTGTGTCTCCTGAGCTCCTCTTCCATCACGTTCTCCGCTCTGGCCTCCTGGTCTTTTAGCTGCTCCTCCAACTCGTGAATCCTGTTGAAGCACAGTCCACATCATCATCATGATTTTTTTGTCAGTAATGCTGAGACCCACTTTGGCCTTTTAGCATTTAGCAAATGCAAAACGTTTGTTAGGACTATTTTCATGGAAGGTTTTGCTAGTGGAAAGAATCTGCTCTTTAAAGAGACATGCAAATGCATGTGCATATAGAACACAATTCCAATTAAATGAACTTTGTCTGCAGAGTGGGTGGTTGGACTCTGAGTAGCCATTTACCTGTGAACCAACTGTATATTTTCCTGTTTCAGCTTCGACTTGACATCCCCATTCATCAGAATCTCATTTTCCAGCTCTGTCACTTTCTTGTTCAAGTAACTCACCTGTAACAAAGTAACAATATATGCAAATCTTACAGTAAGCATAACCCTTGATCTGCACATCCAAAAAATAAAAAAGTTTTGCAACAACAATGCAGGTTAAAGGTTTGAAAAGTGTTTATGTGTACAAACCTATAGTGATCCTGATTCAAATAAACAGAAACAAAAAAAACAAAAAAAAATTTTTTCAACTATGAGCACGTTTGGCCATGTGGATATTTAAAATAAACACACTAAAAAGGTCCAACAGTGGACATGTATTGCAGCTGAATTCTGTAATTTTTATGAAACATCATAATCCATGATTTCCACCACAATGCTACTTCCATCGTATCTTGAATGATGTACTTATGTTCGTGTATGGAATTTTGTAGTAAAAATTATATTTTAATTGTGGTGTTAATAGTCCCCAAATTTTATATATATATATATATATATATATATATATATATATATATATATATATATATATATATACACACACACACATCATAGAAACAATTTTCTGAAGATGTTTTATATTTCAAGATTGAAAGTATGTCTGGAAAACAGTTCGATGAACTGTTTTTAAAGTTTTTAAAGATAAATTAAAACCAACCCTTGGGACATAATAATGCACACCCAGATACAGATAAAATCCAATTTAAGTCATCAGCATCACCTGAACCCATTTGACCTCCTGCATTAAGAAGCTTACATCTACAGATGTGATTTCCTGAGCGCCGGTCAGGACTAAGCGTGTGTTTTAAAAGACACTCCAAAGACAGTCAGCATTGCTGATGCAGTCTTCACAGGGCTGTGTTCAGGAAGGAAGTGATTGTGCTGTGAGGGGATTTTTACCTTCTCAGTAATGTCTATTTCACAGGAGTCAATGCTGTCATGGAACAAATCCTCTGTGCTGCCGTTAATACTGCTGAGGTTACTGTTGTGGAGCAGCTGCCTGTTGGACCCAAATACACACATAAACAAGATAAGTGAGTAATAAAAATATAATGCATCACCATAACATTACAATTACATTATATTTTGTTTCATCCCATACTGCACCAGTTAATTTTTTGCACCCTCAGCATTCAGATCCCATGCTGACAGCTATATTTTGCAAGAGGAACGTCCCACTTACCTATCTGCTCAGACCTATGGATGGATTGGACTACACTGCAGCATCAATACTACTACAAACTACACTACCCATGCTGCATCACTGCAGCAGACCACTCTTCCATTCCATTAATCTATATTCCATGCCTGAGCATCTTTAGGAGCACTTCAGTGACGAGGGAGAGAAGGGACTGACCAGTACAGGCATCGTGAGAGCTGATGTAGTGTCCGATCCAGTCGACCCACCCACACAGAACCAAACAGCACTCATCTAAAAGACAAAAGCGCATGCGCCGGCACACACACTATTCTCTTAGTCTTATCCCAATTGCATTAGCCTCTGAGAGCCGTAATCTTGCATGTACACAAATTCACATTCACATAACTCTTCTGCAGAGTCAGGTCTTGGTTGTCACTTTGTTTTATTGCTGCGTGTCATTCTCATTAAAGCAATTACTTCACACATGAGAATCCATTATACAAATTACACACATTGGATTCTCTCTGTGGTTCTGCTTCCTCCCTCTCTCTTACACTCAGGTCAGCTGTGGCAGGCCACTTTCATCTTGTCACTTTGATTTAGAGTAGGAGACTGGTTGTCAAAGGGACAAGAAAAACCGCCATTCACCCACACAATTTTTACCACCCAGCGTTTACACTCCCACACAACATTTGATTAGATTCTTGCAATTAAACACAAAGGGAACTGTCTATAGCAGTGATTCCCAACCAGGGGTATCCATACCCTAGGGATTTCTTGAAAAGATTTTTAAACAAAGTGTGTAAGTTGTGTAAGTGTTTTGTAATTGTATGTGGATGATACTTCTAACAGAGTATTCTGTTTTGAGAGGCTAAGATATGAGAAGCTAATTACAAGCCCTCTCAAACGAAAAAGAAAAGTAAACTCACTGGAAATCCTTGAAATTGGCAGGGATGAAGAAAAGAAGAAAAACATATCCAAAGCCTCAGAAGAGTTTGGCTGTTTGTTCATGCGTGAATGTGGATGTGAGTGAGAATGATTCAAAATACAGAATGTATTTGAGTCAGATAAACAGAATCATTAGTGGTGCAGAGAGACTGCAGCAAGATATCAGAGCTCCTCCACCTCAGTTGTGCTCTCATATACTCACATTAACTCCTTAAGGAACACATTGCCTCTATTACACTGTCACTTTAATTTTGTCTATTGTAGCCCTCAGGAAGACAATGAAGAACTGATAACCCCTAATCCTCCCAAAGCACCTCTAACATGGATTCCAAGCCACTAAAAGCTTATTTCCCAGATGTGAGGGGTAACTCCTTTTACATTACTGAAGAGAAACTAGACAAGTCAATAACCACTTAACCCTTATTTCAAAGATTTAACTCTAAAAAGTCTTCCTGAAGATGAGCTTACACCCAGTAAAAAGTATTTTATAACTTTATCTTTCATAACAGATGTAAATTGTAGCCTCTGCAGTACCTGTTGGTTTTGAGATTTTTCAGCCTGTTCTCCAGGTCATTGAGCAGACTGACCCTTTTACAACACTGAGAGCAAAACACATCCATCTGGTTACCAGCATGGCGCACCTTCCGAGGACTCTGACCAGCACTGGAGGAAACAGGGAGAGGGAGGGAGAGAGACTAAGTCAAACACATTTATGGCACATCAAATGAGCATTCTGAAAACATTCAATAAACAATATAAGCAGAATGTAGAAAAAATACTATACAATCGTGAAAATTAAAGAAACTAAAATAAAAAGTGATAGTCTGATAAAAAAAAGCCAAGTCTGATAAAAAAAAAAGCCCCCCCCAAAGAAGCGTCATGCCTATTCAAACATGCCTCAACAGTTATTTGAGCCAAGTAGATTATATATGCAACTTCCAAAGAAAAATATTTGGATAGAGAAGACTGGGGGATGGTGGTAACACTGAGTTGTAGCACCATCAGTTTGAGCACTAGAAGTTAGGTACAAGGATGCAATCGTTATAATACATGACCACCATCCTTTGAGGGTGGTAGTAGATTGTGTACAAATATAAATCATTTACATGGTGAAAAAACTTTCGGGCTAGAAATATCAACATTTCACTTATGGGTTATTATACCAAGTCTGATAAAAAAAATGCCCCCCCCAAAGAAGCGTCATGCCTATTCAAACATGCCTCAACAGTTATTTGAGCCAAGTAGATTATATGTGCAACTTCCAAAGAAAAATATTTGGATAGAGAAGACTGGGGGATGGTGGTAACACTGAGTTGTAGCACCATCAGTTTGAGCACTAGAAGTTAGGTACAAGGATGCAATCATTATAATACATGACCACCATCCTTTGAGGGTGGTAGTAGATTGTGTACAAATATAAATCATTTACATGGTGAAAAAACTTTCGGGCTAGAAATATCAACATTTCACTTATGGGTTATTATAATATGATTTACAATCAGATATGCATATTAGATGACAGAACATGTATCATATGAAGCAGATTATTTAGTTTAATTTGATTTATACTACAAATCAACATCTTCCTCTTAAAGGGGTCATATGATGTTGCTAAAAAGAACATTATTTTGTGTATTTGGTGTAATGAAATGTGTTTATGTGGTTTAAAGTTTAAAAAACACATTATTTTCCACATACTGTACATTATTGTTTCTCCTCCATGCCCCGCCTTTCTGAAATGCGTCGATTTTTACAAAGCTAATCAGTCTGAAAAGCAAGGTGTGCACTGATTGGCCAGCTATCCAGTGCGTTGTGATTGGCTGAATACTTCAAGCGTGTGACAGAAATGTTACACCCCTTACCATATTGTGATGCCCTGTCCGGCCAGAGCAACGAGACAAAAACATTAAAACCCATTATAAACTAGGCATTTGTTGCATCCAGTGGGGACATAATTAATGATTATAATGACTTATACTGTCTTTTTACGCGTTGTGTTGCATCGCGCCGCGTAAACAAAAAAACATGTCTGCATTTGTGATTGGAGAAATGACAAACAACAAGTGGGGTTTGAATCATCAGTGGAAAATTCTTTAAATATAAAAAACGTACTTACAGTCTGTGAGTCAGAACAGCCGGCATTGTAGTCTACTCTACCAGGATCAGGAAACAGTCCTCCATAAAATGCGCTGGACACATCTGAATATTTGGGTTGAACTGTTCTGGAACAGTGTTGTAAATACAACTTAACCACTGATTTCTAGTCGGCCTAGAGTGAGCGGAGGCCAGCTTGAGTGAGCGGCGGCAGGCGGGCTTGAGAAAGGCGTGGCCGGCAGATTTGACGAAGGAGCGTCCGGCGAGCTTGCGGCAACCACATGTGACGACCCCGGACTGGAATCCGCTTTGTCCACGGTGAAAGCCGATCCGGCGATCGACATCGCGTTGATGTATTTCCTCAGCGACCAGCACGGATCAGCTCCAGGCATGACGAAGCGGATATCATCCTATTTTTGAAGCCAACCAAAGTAGTTTCGCTTTCACAATGAAACACACAGTGCCTTCACGACATGGCGGCGGCAACAACAATACTACAGCGAGAATAAAAGTTACGCCTTCTTTCTTTGCGTGAACATTTGGGCGGCGTTATGCAAATCTTCCCACATCGTGACGTAGACATGTGGGAGCATGTTAGAACGAGCCGTTTTAGGCAGGCGTGGTTGACTCAACTTTTATAAAGAATATCTCTTTGGATTTGAGACTTTATTCTTTGCAACTTAGCAGATCTTCTTTATGCACCAAGAGCTTGTAACACTCCAAAGAGAAAGGAAAATTTGAAATCGCATCATATGACCCCTTTAAAAAAAATAGACATATAATGGCTGAGCAGACAGGAGGGGTAAAATGTTTCCTTTTTTATATTTTTAATTAAAATACTGAAAATAGAAGGTAGTGGTTTTGGGGGACAGGTAAAAATTTTTAGAACAAGTAAATTTGATTAAAAAATTAAATGCACAAAAGTTGTTTTCAGCATTTTGGATAGTGTGTCAGAACTAAAAAGAACCAATACACTGTATCCCTTGTGAGTGAAAAAGTTTCTCACAGTCAGACAGCTCCATCCACTAATACAGTCACTAATATATACATGCTGAAAGAAATCTTGTGTAATGAAGGCAGATGTCTGGACTTCTTAACTAATCATCCTTTCATTTTAAAGTAAATCCCTTTGAAAACAGGCTTTGGGGCAGGGGAGAGACAGTACTGCTGTAGTTAGATGTAAAAAAAAAATAATTCAGTAAATAATAATAATAAAAATTAGGAATACACACACGGACATTCAAAAAACAACACACCTGGAGGAAACAGAAGAGCCCAGATCTGAACATCCATTAAAGCGGATCTCATCGTCTGGACAGGGGCTGCTTGGAGTGTAGTCTCCATCCTCTCCTTCTCCATAGTCCTCAAACTGCTCCTCATTTAATGAGGCAGATGAACGTGTAGAATTATCAGAAGTCTCGGAGCGATTATACATCTGACCACACCTTGAGGAATGAGAGAAGAAATGGAAATTTAAAAAGCATTTATTTTTTGTGCACTTTTCTGTAGACTTAATATCAGTGAAAGCAATTATTATTAAATTCATTAATTAATTTGCAAATCCATAAATTCAGCCTTATGTATACAAGAAAACATGATAAAATCACGTACGTTTCTCCTGGAAGGCAAAGCCCAATCCCTTCCTCTTTTTCTCCAGTTCTCCCTCCATCCGATATCTCTGACGACAGAGCACTGTCTACTGCACTGTCTCTGTCTGACTCTCGCTCCACCCCTCTGCCTTCCTCACCCTCCTCATCCTCGAGCATGGACATGATAACTGGTGGCCTGACCTGTCCTGACTGTACTGTCAAAAGCAAAAGAGATTAAACTGTTAGAACAGTCACACAACACCCAACTTAATTTACATAAGAATAGAAACAATTATGAAAATATCATGAATGCATGGATGTCTGACAGGGATAAAATCTCTGGAGTGACAACTGTATTTATCTATGATAACCCTAGCCATATTTTGGTGCCTCACAAGCAGTGAATATGGATATCAACAGTTCACCCATTTGATATGTTAGTGATATTAGTGACTGGAGACAATTTAGCGTCAAAGAAAGAAAAAATATTTTTAAAAATCTAGTATTAAATATGTAAATATTACTTCTATTCATATTGGTTTAATTCTGTTTTGAAAAACTTTTATACCATTTATACTATATAAATGTAACTAAAAACTGTATGAGGCGTACACTTCAAGTAAAAATCATAATCATAATTATATTCCAAAAAGTTTTTAAATATATTATTCAAGGGTTTATGAATTTACAAATCATTATGTTTACATTATTATGCTTTAGAAAATGATTGACCTTTATACAGTCATGTGGTTAATAAGTCACAGGCCTAATCTAAATCAATTTTATGTTTTGTGTTTTTTGTTTTTGGAACACATGACTTTGACTTGATTTTGCAACATTTTTATAAGAAATAAAAATAAAAGAATATGCCATACTTTATATGGTTTTCTTTTTTTAAGTGTCATTCTTTTAATGAGGCTGTTATATTCATTGTGATATCAGAAAAGTTGTGTCACCATTCACTGAATAACAAATAAAGAAAATACAACAAAGAAATAGAAGGAAGTAAACTGCTCGTAATATGTCTTGGCATGAAAACAACAAAAACAAGCTGCATGGCTAAAATTGGGCCGGCACCAATGTTCCTTCTATGCAGAAGAATGGACAGAACTGCAAAAGCATAATCTCTTCCCAATTTTTAATCAATCACACACACACTGCTTCTGTGGTTTACCAAACTGGCTCTACAACTAACAGTCACTTCTGTAAATTGAGCACACAGCAGGTGGGTGTGCGTGTGTGAGAAAGAAAAAAGGGCTCTTTAGTATTCTGTTGTGCAGAACATGAGGGGGCAGGGATACAAAATGCCAGTGTGTGGTCAGGCTGCTTGAACAGTGAGTGGTCCTACATACACAGAAGCAGTGAGCATGCACACACACACACACACACACTTTTCTTTGTGTGGCATAGGGGAAAATCAAAACAGGTCACAAAATGTATAGGTAATTATGTGCTCTTGTATTTGTGAATAGATCTCCTCCTCCACATAACAGCAGGGTATGAGTATGTGTACCTACTGTATGTTTGAGCACCTTATTATGAATGCACACAACTCGCCGCAACTTGAAACATGACATTCAAAGCCCTGCAGGAAGCTCTTACACAAATCCACTCTAAATGCTAGAAAGTGATCTGTACATGCACAGACTGAATGCTTTATTATGCATGTGTGAAACGCACAAAAGGCGATCGCATTTCACACTGCAATGCCCCTTTAGAATAATATTACATAATGGTCTCCAAAATAATTTTAACATTCAGAAAAAAAAGTGTATTTTTCAGATGTTGAAAACACTTCTGAGTTGCAAGCATTATGTAATCCTTTACTCAGACAATATGCCATACAAGAAACTGAAAAGGCATACTGTCTGAAAACATGTTCTTTGTGAACCTCTGAGACCTGACATGACTATACAAAAAAATAACAATTGAGTTTATGACGTAGATTTATGTTAAAGTTTCTGCTGATTTATTTGATCAACTGAAAACAGTTGGTAAACATACCATGATGGCACTTCAAATAAGCATGTCAGGGTATCAGGAAAAAAGTGATCAGAAGTATCTCTCTTGATGTGTGTCACGAATCCGGTCTATAAACTTCCATTCACTCACCACCAGAGGTCCCCCGCTCTCCACATGGACTCTCACACTACTAGGGATGGGTATTGTTAAGGTTTTAACGGTATTACTACTCTTACCGATACTGCTTATCGATTCGGTACTTTAACGGTATTCTTATCGGTACTTTTTGTTTTATATATATATATA